GGGGCTTAGCGTTTAGGGGCTATGGTTTAGGGGCTTGGGCTCGTGGAAAGGATAGTCCGTCCTCGGGTCTTTTTGTTGTTTACGTGCGTAGGTTTAGGGATTATTATTAAGGGTTAGGGTTTGGGATTCGGAACTCGGGGTTGCTTGTAGTCTTGAAGCTGTAGGGTTCAGGTTTAAGACCAGTTTCTCAACTAGCCATAACGTGAGTTGCTTTGTCAAAGCTCGCATGTCACTGTGTCACCGTGGAAGCAGATACTTCTCCGGGCCCGCGGCAATGGGTTCACGGTTTGCCCTTAACGGCACAGGGGACTCGGAGATTAGAGGACGCAGAGCTTCCACTAAGCAGGGCCCGAACATCACATCTCAAGCTAGAATCCTTACTGAACTTTCCCTCCCACAGCCAAGGGGACACCGAAGTCCATCGATGGCACTACTGACAAGGAACCCTAAACCCCTACAACCATAAACCCTAAAACCCTAAACCCCTAAACCCTAATCTCTTAGCCCCTAAACCCTAAAGCCCTAAATAAACCCAAAACCCTGAACCCCAAAACCACAAACCCTAACCCCTGAACCCTGACCCCTGAACCCTAACCCCTGAACCCTGACCCCTGAACCCTGACCCCTGAACCCTAAACCGACAAGGAAGAAAGGAAACCAAGCTGGAGGCGAGCCGCTGATTCGTCGACATGCCGAAAGGCTGGGTTGGCACCTGCGGTGTTTCAGGGGGGTCAAAACATACATGACGCCTTCATGCCCGTGTGCATGCATGCATGCAAGTATGTAGCTAGGTCCTAGGTATGTATTTGGGTCTGTATGTATGTATGTATACAAGCAAGTATGTAAGTATGTATATATGCAGGTAAGTGTACGCATGTACGCATGCCTGAGACATGATTCACGTATCTGTATGGACGTATGGATGGATGGATGGATGGATGGACGGACGGAGGGATGGACGGACTCATACATGTGTGTATATATATATATATGTATATATATATATACATATGTAAGTGCGCATGCACACTCTCAAGACTGACCCCACCATGCAACTGGTTAGCTAGCAGCTGCTTCCCCCACGGCCACCTTGCCGTAAGCCCCAAGTCGTTAAGGGCCTTTGCTTCTTTCGTTGGGATCCCGGTTCCAATCTTGTAGGAATTACCTTGAAACCCCAAATATCTTACCTTTTTAGGGACTTATATAAAGAAATCATATTAGGGGGGCCCTAAAAAGGTAGTTTCCTTAAGGCCCAGGTAGGGCCTGCAACCTCCAGCTCGATATCCGAAACACCAGACCTCCGAACATCACCCCACCGAACAGCCCGGGGATTTAGCAGAACAGGATTTAGGGCTCAGGGCTTCGAAGGCTTTAGGCATCTAGGGTTTAAGGGCTTATAATAAAGCTTTAGGAGTCTAGAGTTTAGGGTTTAGGCTTTTGAGGTTGTTTGGGCAAGCCACTGAAATCACGAAAGTCCTGAAGCCCGAAATCACCCAACAAAAGCCACCCTGAAATCCCAACTTCGAACCCACCCTCCCCCTAAGCCCTAAACCCCAAAGCCTCAACCTTCATAGAAGCTGGTTTTATTCCATAATTCAACCCTAAGCCCCCCCCAAACCCTAAACCCTCAACCCTAAACCTTGAACCTGAAAATGAAATAAAAAGCAACTGGCCTTCAGCCTCTTGGCTTTCACTCCGTGGCAGCCCGGGTCCTGGGCGTGAAAGGCTGAACGGTAGGTCTAAACCCTAAAACCTGAACCCTAAACCCTAAACCCCTAGACCCGAACCCAAGGAGGACCGTGGATTTCGAAAGACGTCGTGTGTCCACGGCTTCAGCCAGGGCCTCACAGCCTTGGGCATCGGATTCCCGAAACTTTCAAGGCCCAAGGTCCCAAAAATCCTGGAACCCTACGCCCAGATCCTAAAACCCTACTAGCCTAGGTTAACCGGCCAAAAACCTAAACACCCTAAAAGCCCCAAGCCTTAATCCTCACAAACCTAAACACCCTAAACTTGGCCAGAAACATGCCAAAAGTCCCAAGCCTTCATCCCCAAAGCCCCTCAACCCTAAACCCGTAAACCCTAAACCTCTTCTTGGCCACGGGGCGGTGTGACTATCGCAGAAAGTCAGCGTGTCGCGGCCATCCACATACTCGACCTGGCGCTGCGCTGGGCAGCGCCGCTTTGGGGGCGTTGTTGTGTCGTCTTGTGGCTTCTTTTGCTTAATGAAAAGTGCTTGGAGGTTCATGGGTAGTTATAAGTGGGGTTATAAGTAGGGCAACTATACTTATAACCCATATTAGGGGACTTAGAACCCCACTTAAAAACTACCCCTGAACCTACAAGTGGGCTTTAGGACTCTACCATGAAGGTCTAAAGGGCTTAGGGGAGAGTTTAGTGTCTGTTCGGCCAAGGCTTTAGGGTTCTGGGGTTTTGCTCGTCTTGGGGTTTAAGGTTTGGGGTCGAGGCCTTAGATAGAGCGGGGGCTTACAGGGATCAGGGCCTGTTGGGTTTAGGGCGTCTATAGCATTAGCACGGTCTTTTGAAAAAGGATTCTACAGTAGAAGCCAGAAAGTTGGAATATCATTATCGTAACCCCTTTAAGGTAAATTATAGGGGATCCTACCATTAATCCATATTCCAACTTTCTGGAGTTCCCTTTATGAGGCTCGATTGCAAAGCTCTTTACAGGCATCGGGGGAAGTCGAAGCTTCGCGGCTTCGGGGCCATGCAGCTTTCGTCATTCGTTATAACAACGCATGCAAGACTCCTACGGCTGATGATATAAATCCTGCATTACCCATAATAAGGAATATACCATAATAATTCCCATAGTCTAGGATCATGAAGGTAATGCAGGATTTACATCATCAACCCTAGGGGGCTTTATGTGGGCTTCGGGCTTCGAGTCTTTACAGCAGAGTCTCAACATTCAAGCTTAGCTGGAAAGACTCCAGCCTCAAGCCAGGAGCCCTTAGCACTTTGGCTACCCAGAATTCTAGCAGTGTCCTAAATCATATGGGAGTTTCCGAAATCAGGGGTACCTTGTCGGGGGTCCTTATAAGAAGGATGCTACTATCTAGGGTACTATATAAGGGTCCCCTATTTTCGGAAACTCCCATATTGAGATTACCGCTGTAAGGAGTAATGAATCATGCGGAGGATGAGAGCTTCGAGCATTGCGCAACCATCCAGGGATGCTTTTTCGGTGTCAAGTACGGATGTGCTCGCCTGTCTCCATGGAGTCTCTGCGAGTTGTTGATATCCTGACTGCCAGAAATATTAGCATCACTGCTCCTACTACAAGAGTTTTACAGATCATTGAAAATGTTGATTGCCATTGTTGCTACTCTTCGTGTTAACGATGGTTTACATCTTGCCAAGTGATGGCCTGGCCGGTGCCGTAGTGGATGGTCCCGTCGGCACGGACGGGATCTAACTCCTCCAGGGGAGGAAGGGCCGAAATGTCGCAACCCCCGAAGCCGAAGCCGAGCCATAAACGATGAACCTCAAAGTTAAGATCGTCTTGGGGGTTTAGGGTTTCTGTCTAAAGGGCCTTCTGTTACGCAAGGGATTTGGGGGTTCAGGGTTTAGAGTTTAGGGTATCTTCCCGACACCTCAAAACCTGCACTCCAAGACCCGACTTCTGCAGCTCCCCTCGACACCCGAACGCCGAAGCTCAATCCCAACCCATGGGTTTACCGGGGGCCTACCTTTTCAGGGTTCCTTATTATGGTTTCTATATATAGTTCCTCAAAATGGTAGGTCTTGCTACAGGTAGGGTGTCTATTGAAAGGGACGCTCCTGCAAGAACCCGAAAGCAAGGGTGCCAAGCTTTCAGAAGGCATTGGGGAGTTGCCCTGAATCCGGAAAAGAGCTTCATCAAGGGGCTTAATAAGTACAAGGTTTGGGGTCTCGGACCTCGCATCTGCGGCTTGTTGGGGTTGGAACGCCAGTTCAGGCTTTGGGGAAAAGAGATCCATGCCGATTGCAACAGTTGTTGAGAGGCAAATCCATTGCAACAACGATGAATACAAACTGCAAAGGCTCCTAAACTCAACAAACTCGGTAGTTGTGACTTGGAACCCCTGCACTGCAAGAGCCCACATTCCACACCTTTCGTCTTCACTTCTTTACGCAGCCTCCGGGTGCTGGACGTTGGATCATGGCAAAGTCTCTGATCTTGCATCGTTTCGTCTATGCCCAGCTTGTGCACAGGGTTCTGCACCCCGAGACCGATGCTAGCTGGCACATCCTAGCATCCGTATGCCCAAAGCTCCAAAGTCCCTTCCTTAAAAAAACAGCCCTTGCAAGTAGAGTTGCTCTTAAAACACCTGAGAGCCCCCCATCCCAAAAGTCACCCTTGTGGAAACCCTTATAGCTGTTCTTCAAAAGGAACCCCTCGAAAATAGCTAACCTTTTAGTCCCCCTTAAACACACCCTGCAAAAAAGCAAGAAGAACCCTCGTCTTTATAGTCACCCGTAGTAACCCTTCTTGTAACCCCATTAACCCGTTAGTAACCCGGAAATCAGGAACCCAAAGAACACTTTTTACAAAGAAGCCACAGAAAACAGTTCCCCTTACAGCCACCCTTAAAACAGAAACCCAAAACCCTAAACCCTAAGCCCCAAACCCTCAACCCGAAACCCTTAAAGAAGACACCGTATAGCAACCCTTAAAAACGACATCCTAAGAACCCTTATGGTCCTCATCCTTGCAGTTGCCGGCCCTTTAAGCCCTCAACCCTCAACCCTTAAAGAAGAAACCAACAAGAACCTCCCGTCCAAGGCCTCGAAGCTCTTGGAGCCTTCGACGGAGAAGCGGTGGTGCTCGGAGCAGGTATCGCCTTGGATGGTAGAAACTGCGGAGTTTGGGGCTGTAGTCGGGGCATGGGGTGTACGGGACTGAGGTGACTGACGGGGACGGGCGTCCTTTGGGCTGTGGACAGCGCAAGATATTGTGGCATCGTCGGAGGGACACCTTCGGATGCGGACTTTGCCTAATCCGGAGGCGGGCTCAGCAGCACATGCTGGCCAGCAGCTTGCTCGTTCTGCGTGGCGAAATCATTGATTTCACGCTGCTTCGCCTCGACCTCCTCCTTGAGAGGGAGGTTGTCAGCAGCGCAAGCGTAGGTGGGATTTAAGAGTAACATTCCAACCACGATGCACATGTGGAATGGAACAAGAACCACGGCAAACAACAACAAGCATGTGTTGAAAATCGTGGATGCGCTGCTCAGCTCGCCGGTTGCCGGCCAGCTGCACTCGCCAAACCCCACCTCTTCCGTCAAAGACATGGAGGTTCCATTGGCCTCCGGCTTGAAGGATATCCAGAACTGGGACGTGAAACATGCCAAGGCTTCCTGGGAAGCAGTGACCGGCTCCAGAAATTTTTCACGGAGCACCGGGAGGCCCATGGGCCGCCCGAGCGAGCCGAACGGCAAAAGACCGTTCGGGAGATCGAGGAAGCAGAGAGCCGTCCAGGTGATGAAACGGAGCAGAATTGAAACGGCTGGAATAAAGCCAGGACCCTCTCCTCCAACCACTGCTACTCTGTTCTTGCAGAAGCATTTCGTCTGGTGGCCTGCCATCGCAATTCCCACGAATAAGAAACTGTTTGGTACCGTCGCCAAAAACTGCTGCGATCCACCGCACCAGGCCGCTGCACCGTTCGCCACCGCACCCAGCATGTATCCGGGCACAATCATTGTAGGATGCAGTGTGGCGCTTGCCACGGCGAAGGCCGCGAGCTCCGCCCCAAATGCACCTAAGTACCAGGCAAAGAGTGCCGTAGCCTTCACTGGACGAACAGCTTTCAGCGCATACGCTTCTCCGCTGTCCAAGCAGGTCGTCACCTCGCACTGGCCCGCGGTGTCAGCAGGTTGCTTGTTGCATATATCACATGATTTACGTCCGTCTAGCAGCTCATGGGTCCGTCCTTAACTTAACTTCGCATGGATCCTACACAGCGGGGAGAAACTCTCATTTTCGAGACTTTCCTACGATGGCTATCGTTGATGCAGCACCCAAGACAAGTATAAACCTGCTGCAGTAAAGCCTATGCAAAATGCCTCTTAGCAACTCTTTTCGGAATCCGCCCGCCTCCATGCTCAACCTGCCCTCGGCCATGGCCTTTGCCGAACTCACCAACCCGTAGAGGCAGCTTGCGGCCTGCAGCGGCGTGAGTTGGAGCAGCGCTGCGCCGTAAGGGCCGATGAGCCCGGTGGCGGGCGCTTCCGCGACTCGTTCCACCAAAAGCATCGTCTGCCAACCCGGGGTCGGCACTCCCCGATTCAAGCAGAGCCGAGCTTCGCCCAGTGGGTCGAACCGCTTCAGCGAGCTATCTCTCGACATTAGCGAGACCGCGCCCCACAGGGATAGAAGTACAACCACCAATCTTTGTGGAGTAGAAACGTGCCGATCTGAACCATGTCGTTCACCATGTCCTCGGTTGGGGCGGAGAAGGCGCGGGGTTCAGGGTGCCGGCCGACCTGGAGAGCCTCTACGCCCAGACGAAGAACCTTCACAGCACGCCCGAGGCGCAAGAAGGTACATGCCAAGCTCGAAGTAGATGCCTGAGGGCGGACAGAAGCTAAAGGCGACGACGGGCACATAGCCTTTGGGGACAGCCATTGCGCCCACGGACGGATGCAGAGGCTACGGCCACAAAGCCTGTCTCCACCACAGGCGACGATCCTCGCTTATGGAAGCTGAGATCGTGAGCTGTTGGCCAAAGCCGAAAGCTCAAAAATCCGTCTCGGCTGCGCGCAGCAGAGCTCTTGAAAAGTTTTCTCGACGACGCGAAAGACGTCAGCTGATCCCTAGCACTGCCGAATCTACCGCATGCGTCCGGCACGCACCAGCATCCGAAGCTCTCAGCCGGAAACGGGACCCCTTAAAGCTTCCTGGACGCCAACCTGAAGCCTTTCATAGCGACCCGCAACAGCACCTGAACACAAACCATAAGCTTGGGACGGACACAACCCCCGTCTTTTGAACGATGCAAGAAGGTGGGGATATCCCACCCAACGAAGTAGAGTGATCCCCAGAAACTTGGAACATGGATGTATATAGGATGATTAGTGCGGGGATCCCCGTTGCTCTACCTTCAAGGCATGAGGATATCGATGTTCCAACATCCTGGCTTCTACGGAAAAAGGAACTCCTGACCCTAGCCCTAAACCCCTAAACCCTACCCTTAAAGGACCCCTCAAAAAGGAACCCCGGATGTCCTGACTTCAGCGCCAAGCTACTCTTGCAGGCACTCCCGGGGACCCAGGTAATACCGCTCCCTGGAGGTTTGGAGCTGCGGGGCTTGACTTAGGGTTTAGGGTTTAGGGTTTATAGGGTTTAGGGTTTAGGGTTTAGGGTGTTCATGCTTCTGGGGGGGGTCATAATGAGTCATCATAATGAATCATACTGAGTCTCTACGGCCTGGGATTCAAAGATTGAGGCTTGGCATTTCGGGTTTATGGCAATGGTTTCAAGGTTCTGGGTTCAGGGTTTGGGGTTCACTTGAACTTCAGCGCTTGGGTTAAGGCTTTGGGGTTGAGGGCGCGGGTGTAGCCTTTTCACGGCTTTCTGAAGTTCTTAAGATCTTGTCCTTTTGTGGTACTATAGGGGCCTTAATAATTAGAATAGGGTTTGGGGTAAATTCTAATAAGGAACCCCCAAATTAGCATAGGTAATTATTTAGGCCCCTATATTAGGTTTGTGGCATAGCCCAGGAATCGGAGACTCGACTCCGTGTGGCCACAAGACTATCAAGCCCAAACCCCTCCTTCAAGAAAGCTATTTACGGATCGCTCCCGTTATATGGTGTTGTGTGGGGGATCCTAGCACTAATCATCCTAAATCCATGTTCCAACTTTGTGAAATTTGCTAACAGGTGTTGCAGGTTGAAAGACCGGCGCAGAATACTTACGAACACATCTTCAGGCAACCGTTTCCGACACTGCCACACCCTGTGCCCTTCCTGTGTCAAAGACGGCGGTGAAGCGCTGCGCCGGATCTCCCAGCCTTCTACGTCTTTTGGGGGCCTAACAATAATCACAGGATAGGGTTTCAGGCCAAGACGTATTCTGCATTCTAATTACATAGGGGCTACGAGGGAACACTATTATTATTACTGATTGCTCAAATTATGTTGCAAGGGTTGTGGGCCTCTGCAGGTGCCTGTGCGATGAGCATTTGGGCTTTACAGGCTAATGTCGTACAGGTTGCAGAGTGTGGCCGTTTCGGGTCCAAGGCTCGAGGGCTTGTCGGGTTTTTGGATTTCACGTTGCACAGCTTCGGACGGTGACCTAAACTCTAACCCCGACAAGTAAACCCTGAAAGTACTAAACCGATGCAGTCGCTGTGCCCGCATAAACCCTGATTGCAACCGTATGGTACCATTATAGAACCCTTTCAGTATCCTTATAGTACCCTTGTTGACCAAAGTAACCGTCTTTTGTCTGTGACTGGTTGGATATGGGCCACTGTGAAGCAACTGCAGGGCTTTCTATACGGGTTTGGTGTTCGTTCAGGGCGTTACCTCTATTGGACTCTCGGGTTGAGGATCCGCGTCTTGGGCTCGTGGGCATCTTGGCCACAAGACAAGAGGCCCCAATGCAGGCCCCTAGCCTAAACTACCCGGAGCGCCAAAGAGCCTGTTCCTCAAGCAATACACCCCCACTTACATCATGTTAGCCAAAGGATCAATCTGCAACTTCATGGCAAGCCCTTTTTTTATGGGAAAGGGTGCTCTTATTTGGAAACCGCATCGCAATCTGGAAGTATCTCAGCTTCTGCCGAGATGCGCGAAATCCTCGGTTCAACATGAGGTTATTGTAGGGGCCTTAATAATTAGAATAGGGTGTTGGGCTTCTGTAGAGTATAAAATAGTTGTAATAATGAGGAGCCCTAAGGAAAAATAGTGATACTTATCTAGGCTTCTATAGTAGGCTTGGGTCTCCATTTTTCTGGACTTTTCTGGACTTACAAGGGTCTTATGTGGCTTTGGGAAGGCTTGAGAGGGCTTTCAGTTGCCAAGACCTGCCAAACAGTGATTGAAAGGGTTTAGGGTTTAGGGGTTTGCCCTGCGTGCAGCGGTGTGAAACCTGGACCCCAAACCGAAAGTTGAGCTCGGTCACGGCTGTTGAACTTCAGCTTGATCGCTCGCGCTCGGAAGCCAAAACACTTGAACCCCAAACCTTGAAGAACCATAAACTTGCTCTCCGGTACTCCCAAGGCGACGAAAGGTAAAAAAACAAAATCAAACTAAAGCAAAAGAAACAAAACTGGCTGAACCCTATACCAACAAAAGGCCCTACCCTGCAGTCCTGCTATATAGATGTTTATATAGATACACATATTCGTTCATGCGTCTTCCTGTCTGTTTAAATGTAGCCATCTAGTGCACCTTGAACCCTTTCTTCGGTAGTGTTTTCGATCGTCTGCAGCCGAGGCTCCCCGTAGTACCTCGGCCCAAAAGTTAAGGGCTTAGGGTCTTTTAAGGGTTTAGGGTCTAGAGTTTGGGGTTTAGGGTTCAAGGTCTGGGCTTTGAGGTCTCGGGTTTGGGGGCCTTCGATGTGGTTTCGCAGTGCTGTACTCAAGGTTCAGGGGGCTCCATGGATCTCCACGCCTAACACCCCTAAGCTCTAAACTGCTAAATCCTAAACCCTGACACCCCGAAATAAACCCTAAAGGCCCTAAAGTTCAAGATTTAGACTTAATTTAATTAGAAGCTTCGAAGTTCCAGGTTTTGCAGCTCGGGGGCTTTGCTTCGGGTTCTAATCGAAGACACCCCCGAAGCCGAACAAAAATCAGGAACACTGGCTGCGTCGAAATCTCCAAGGCCCATAACCCATCAACACACCAACAACACAGGGGGTGTAGGCAGCAAATTACAAGAAAGCCCCGACTGTATATTGACCCATTCCAAGAACGAGCTGTAACCCCTCATTTTTAGGTGTCCCACAAACCACATCAACATAACGACCTCACAATCAAGCTTTTCTGAAATCACCCTCATAGGGTCTGCGAAGGGTCTTTTGCCCCAGCTGTAGGATCGTTACGTTCTTTTGCCTGACTGCTGTGGCCCATTGCTTCCTTACTTGTCCCAACGACCTCCCGCTGTTCCACACTACCCCAACACCTTCGCAAAGGGGCCCTTATAATTAGAACAGCGTCTTGGAGTTCAGTAGAGTATACTTATGACAAGGAGCCCTAAGTAACTATTCTTGGTAGTTCCCCAGGCTCCTGTATTACGCCAACATCGCGTCAAACCCAAAGCCCGATGTAAAACCATAACAACCTCAAGCCCGAGTTTAACACCCTGAGTCTAGTACAATAAATCTGTAATGTAGTTAGTAATATATACAAGTACAATATACGACTACAAAATACTATAAAACTGTTATATCTAGTAGTTAGAATATACTGAGTTCCTGCAAACTTCCGAACATCGCAAGGAGCTGCTGCGCGACTCAGCTACTGGGAGTTGTTGTTGTTGAGGAGGTCCACGCGCACCTCGCTGCCCTCCAGCTGCTTCAGGTCCTGTGGCTCGGGGAGGATCGGATTTGTGGTTGACGGGCGTTATAGTATATGCATATATCTATATCTGTATCTGTCTATATTATACATATATGTATATGTAGAATAGAAATAGATAGAAAGAGTTCACCTGCAGGCTTTGCTTGCGAGGTCGTAGGTGCGGGTTGCAACGCCGCAGCCTTGAGTCCCCCCCACCCCCCACCCCCAAGAAACGATCAACAGTAACAAGAACAAACGAGCCCGTCAGAGACTCTGAACACCAGACCTTCTAAAGCCTAAGCCCTAGAGCCTGAACCCTAAACCCTAAACACCCGGTTCTGGACTGGGAACGCGGGCTTCAGCGAAAGCAGCTGCAAACATTCCAACTTTAGATGCCCGCTAGAGCCTCTGAAAAACTCACAAGTCACTGCGCGAGTTCCTAAATCTCTCTTAGGTAGCATTTTCGAGAAGCAGTATGCCACGAACTGTTGCCACAAAACTGAAAGTAAACATGACAAACTAGAACAGACCTGCCACGCCGACACGCCCCAAACCCTAAACCTCGCAAGACTGAAGCCGCAGGGCATAACGCGTATAACTGACCTTGCATAAAGCTCTCCAACACCCGACTGAGTTCCTAACCCCCAAACCCTACACTCCCACATGGTATAGGGGCCTTACTAATTAGCATAGGGTTTGGTGGTAAATCATACTCTATAATTACCATAATCAGGAACCCCGAAACCCTATTGTAATTACTAAGGCCCCTACATTACACTAAAATGGCCCCCTGAGGATCCTTAATGCTTCAAAGACGACTTTAAAGATCGAACCTCCGCGCCACGAACGGTCTCCGACTTGTCGTGGTCGCCGGCCTTCGGCGTAGAGGTGTTTCCCGGGGCGTCTTGTAGTAAAGTCTAAGCAAACAAGGACTAGAAGGGTATGCGCTTCCTCATTACATTCAGGCCTGTGTATTGGGATTTGGGCATTCCCTGGTTCAATCGGCAGCAACCTTTTTGTCCAAAAAGTAGATCCCTTAATGGGGGTTCCCGTAAAGTACCCTTAGTAGTATAGGGACCCAAATTAGGGGATCTACTTTCCAAGGGTAAAAGGAGGGACCCTTAATAAGGACCCCTAGGTATATACCCTCATTAATATGGCTATTATATACCGATTATATAGCCCACCATAGGGTAGATTTTCCGCGTTGATACTTCCTAGATCTTACGCCCCCGGGGTCCGGGAACTTCTGTACGAGGTCTCCACCTCTTTCTTACTGCTTCGGGGGCTGCACCCCATAAGAACTTTGGCTTAGGGCCTACTGCGTTGTAGAGTTTAGAGGTAGATGCACAAGCAACAGACCGATTTCAAAGCCAAAAAACGCTTCTGGTTGCGCGGTTTAGGGTTTAGGGGTTAAAGGGTTTAGGGGTTTGGGTTTCGGGTTTAGGGGTTTGGGGGTACATTATACTGTAGTTATGATAAGAAACCCCGAAAACCCTATTCTAATTATTAAGGCCCCTACAGCCTTAGAGTGAAGTAACAAGACCATTGCGAAACAACCAAACAAAGACGCTCAAGAAGGAACCATTTGAGCGACGAGGTTCCGTGTCCGAAGGCCTTCTAAACTACATATAATATCCGCTAAGGCTCAAAAGCGAAAAGCCTAAACCCCCGCACAAGCAATGCACTCAACTCAAGCTCCTGGTGCAAAGCCCTCTCGATCCGCAATACCCTAAACAACCCTGCATTCAACCCAAACCCCAAACCTTACGGACTTCCAAAACCTAAACCTAAACCTCATGGTCTTTACTTTGTATCGACGTCACGATGTGAAGTTGAAGGCTTTTGGGAAGCCGCTTATGGTTTGGGGTTCAGGTATGGTTGAAATGTAGGCCTTCTAAAGGGAACAACTCATGACAACACCACCTACCAACACACCAACCCCAAAACCCTAAACCGTAGACTCTAAACGACATGTCTGAATGACAGGCTCGAGTTTTCGCATCGCAATCCTCAGTTCAGCGGCTTCTTTCAGTTACGGCGAAGTTACATCAAAACATGGGCGGGGCCTGATCAAAACGCTCTGTTCCCCAGCGTTTCAGGGCTGAGGGTCTAGCTTGTGGCGTGCAGGGTCTAGCATTCAGGGCTGAAGGCCAATGTGGGAGTTTCCGAAAACAGGGGACCCTAATATAGTACCCTAAATTAAAGAGTAGGATCCTTATTATAAGGACCCCCCAAATAGGGTACCCCAATTTTCGGAAACTCCCATGTGTGCCATGGAAGGGGAACTTTGGGCTGGCAACATTTATCGACTAGACAGGAGCTGTAAGAAGATGGGAGTACTCCCTCAACCCTACCTAAGTTTCGGGTACGGGGTCCCCGGTATCCCGTTAAAGGGTCTGCCGGCGCTGGGGTAACCCCGACGGAATCTTGGAGCTGAAAGTCAAAATGCCTCAGTACCTGGACTAATAAGTGGTTCTATAAACGGCGTCCCGCAGGGTTTGAAAGAGGTTTTCTAGAGGGCCTGAAAAAACTATGAAACGGCTTTGTTCAATGTCATAGCACATTTAGGTGGGGAGTTATAGGCAGCACTGCTACTGAATATTCCGACCCCTTTGTCCGGCTTCAGGAATTCTGGGTTCGGCTTGCAAGTAAGGACATAAATTACACAATTCCGCCAACATTTGTGGCCCGTGTTTAAGATGTCGCGAAGACGCTACGGAACAGTGATTGATTCCAGCCCCCTTGGGTGCAGATCATTGGCAGGTTGTAGGAGGTACAACAGCGGTTTCAGCTGAAAGGCACTTTGCCAGACAGCCCCAGTACAGTCTGAAGCAGTCTCCAGGCATTCTCCACAAAGCATCGAAAAGCCAGCTTTTTTCGATGATAATCATAATAAGTTAATGAAACTGAAACAAGAGTACTAGATAGACAAATGTAACAGATGAAGTTTGCTTCAGGATCCAGAACACTGGAACAACTGACACACACACACACAGTAGGCACTCAAATGCGAAGCGAAGAGCTTTGCACTCTGTACTGGGACCTGTCCTCACGCGGGCCTCAGAGTTGACTCAATACTCACCCAGGAATGCATAAGCTCCGAGATCAGAGCCGAACCGGCATAGGTTTGCAGGGGCTTTAGGGTTCAAGGCGCAACACTAGACCCTAAACCTTAAACCCTAAACCCTTAAACCCCTAAACCCTTAAACCCAGCAGGTTTAAGGACGTTGACTTGGATTAACTGCAGCACTGGCGCAAACCACTAGAAGTAGTACCAAGTCTTGTACCCTGAAACCCATGTGCGTATACTAAATATACAGAGAAACGTATGTACATACATATATATATATATATATACACACACACTTGTACGTATACACATACAAACATATATATATATACATGTATATAGACACTCTTAGATACATACATACATATATATAGACAACATAGAACATGCGTGTATGTGCGTATGTGTAACTACAGACACGCACCTATCATAGTGTTCTTTCAATGCATGCATGCTTGCATGCAACCGAGAAACATACACATGCTCAAACACATGGCATACACGTAGACATAGACATGCGCATAGATGCACACACACACACACACAAACACACACACACACACACACACACACACACACACACACACACACACACACACACACACACACACACACACACACACACACACACACACGCACGCGCGCAACACGCACATGCACATACACATACATTTGTCATACACTAACCATGCACGTATCCGTATACATATCCTGAAGCATATCCATAATCATGTTTCGACCCAGTAACCCAAGATATAAGCATATATATATATGTATAGATACAGGCATACCTTTGCATACACATACGCATATGCAAAACACATGTGTATATACACATACATACAAACTTGCCAGCGTACATGCACATACACACCGGTACATACTCATACGTACATGTGAATACCTGTGCATACATGTGTGCGTGCATGCCAGCCAGACAGACAGACAGACAGACAGACAGACGGACAGACGGAGAGACAGACAGACAGACAGACATGCATAAGTAGATGCACATATGTGTACATAGATGTATATACAAGTGTATCAATGTTATACATATATACACACACGTGCGATTATTTGTCTAGATGTGCACTTGCTTGTAGTTCGGTACTTGTATTTAGATCTATGTTTCTCTGGGTGTGCTTGCTTGAACTTATGTTCTACTTCTTCCTCGACCTATGTAAATGTCTGTCTTTAACCCCTCGAGCCGCGGAGGAAATGGCTGCGGCGAAAGCCACAGCCAGGACCCTGACCCAGACCACCCGGCTCTAACCGGCGTGAGCGACTTGGGATTCGGGGATTCATAGTTTCGGGCTGTAGAGTCCGCTTCTTCGGGTCTTAAGAGGGTCCTTAGCAAGGCTCTTTACAAAGGGCGTGGAGTATGGGTTTTGTGGGATTTAGCAGCTTTCTGAAATCTCGAACGAAGGGACTACAAGTTGCCGGCTTAAAATTCAAGGGCTGAGAGTCAAGGGTTTTGAAGGATTGTAGGTTTGCAGGCTCTGGGGCTAAAGGACTACAAGGGTGCAGAGTGCAGCATCAGTCAGTGGCTTCGGGTTCGTTGGTTGGAAGACTGATTTCCCTGTAGCCCCAAGACCCTAGGATTTCGTAGGTTAAGACCCCTGAACTACAGCAAAACCATGATTATTATCTATTACTTTATATTAGCAACTATGCTTACTATTATGACGATTTTTACTGTTATCAGTAAACTTTAGTCTGAGCCTATGGCGGTCTTCAGGGTCCTGTTGCTGAAGTCAAAATAGAGCCGTCCGAGAGCAACCCTCGCGAACAAGGCTCTTCTGGCCGCAAACGGGGAGGGATTCGGAGCCTATCTGGATTTCAGGTGTAGGTTTAGGATTTATACGGTTTAGCGTGTGAGGTTAAGGGTTTAGGGTTTGGGGCTTCCGGATTTCGGATTTAAGGCTGTAGGGCTTTTAGGGTTCAGGGAAGCTTTTGGGCTTTAGGGTTGGGGGTCCGACTTCCGGGTAAGGTTTGCGCGTCTTAGGCTTTAGCATGAGCCAGGCTTTCGGGTTTGCACCCCGAATTCGAGGGAAAGCAATGCATTGAACCCCTACTCCCCGAACTCAAATTCACATCCCTACTGGCCCAAACCCCCTTCACCCCTTTGCGGCATCGACAAATCTGCTCAGCAGCAGCCCGACGACTTCTTCTTCTTGCTCCTTACATTCTCAAGGCTTCGAGGGCGTCATGGTTTCAGCCTGCACTGAGGCTCAGGGACAGGGAAGCCACCGCCTAGACAACCAGAACAACCAAACCTACGTAGTGGCTATGTCCCGTAACAACCCGGCAAAGCCTGCAACTCCGAAGTACGAACACCGACGCGATCACCCTAAACCCTAAACCCCTAAACCCTAAACTTTTAAACCCCAAACCCGAAACCCCCCTAAGTAAGCCAAGAAGTTCAAGGGGATGGGAGTCAGTGTACATAATGCAGGGGCCTTAAGAATTAGAAGAGGGTTGCGGGGCCCATGATGCTATAACTATAATAGGCAACCCCCCCAAAATAGTAGAGGTAACTATTTAGGCCCCTGATTTATGGTACCCTTACAGATCCCTTATAGCAACATCCTTGTTAAAGGAATCCTCTAAAGTACAACTCAAAATCGTATAGGTAGTTATCTAGGCCCCTACAGTATCCTCAGCCCTGCAGTAGGACCTGCCCCATCCTACATTTCCAACTCTGTGGGTGATGAAGGTCTGCTTGACTTACTTGTAGGTTCAATCTAGTTGTAAGTAGGGTTATAAGTCCCCTAATATGGGTTGTGAGTATAGTTACCTTACTTGTAACCCTACTTATAACTACCCATGGACCTCCAAGTATCCTCATCTCGCTTGCCGAATTACCAAAGAGGCTGCCGTGTTTGAGGCCTTATCAAACCTCACAGGTCGATGCAACACCTAAGTGCAAACAGCTGGTGAATAGCGAACCCGCGGTGAGCGAGGATCTTGACAGTGAACCGGCTGTAGTTCGAAGGCCGAGAATGCTCAACACATTTATGTACCTGAGAACACGTTTATGTCTTATGAGAAGCCCCAAAGCCCTGTTCTTCTTATTGGGGTCCGTTCTACTTATTGAGGTCCGTATACTACTATAATCTGGAACTCCTACCACACCCCCGAACAGCTTGCTACTAGTTGTAGTATTCGCACTAGCAAAAGCACTAATCGTGTTCAAGCTCATTCTTAGTCTTGCAATCGTTACAACTACTCTTATTTGAAACTGTGCTTCTGGTTGTCCTTATGCTTTGCAAATTTAGCAAGTAACTCTCAGCACATTTGTGATGTATGATATGTCTGCTGGGATCCCGTGCTTCTTCTTCTCGGCCTGGTTCGGCTGTCGGCTTCAGAAAGTTTGAGTTTTGGCGCCCATTATACTATAATTTTCATAAGGAGCCCCACACACTAGCATAGGTCACCATTAAGGCCCCTACATTATGATGCTTCTCTGGCGGTATGGCCACGGCTTTCATTGGCCGTTAACAGGCTTGACAGTGTTGTCCAGGAATACAGGCCCACGATTTCTTAATCAGATTCCTACATTAGGGTGTTGGAGGTTGGTTTCCCTAAAGCGCTTTGGGGGGTACTTCATTTTCGCATCATACGCCAGCCCTGCATGGCGGGGGAACTGTTCCAGTGATGCTTCAGGCCTCCGGTCATTTCTAGGACCACCCACGTCGGTGCTGCGAAGCTCAGTCGGCTTAGAAACTTGAGGTTTGGGGTTTAGAGCTTTAGTTTAGTTCGGGGGTCGGGTGCTCTAGAGCTTTCAGGGACTAGAGCTTTCGAAAGTCGTGCACTGCTTGAAGCCCAAAGGCCTAAAACCGGGAACCGTATACGAGAGACATGCTCAAAGGCTTCGGCCTGGGATCAAGAAGAATTTCTGCACGATACCCTAAGCCTTCCCTAAACCCTAAACCCTAAACCCAAACCGTGGAACCCAGATTCTTTCATCCAAAACAAGAGCTGTAAAAACCCTAAACCCCAAATTGCTCACGCCCTTCATCCCTTCATCTAAAGTTGTCTACAGCCCTCCACCCAGAAAGGCTTCAAGCCCAAGAGCCCTGAAACCCCTCCCCCTCGACCCCTTCGGACCCTAAACCCCTAAACCCCTAACCCCCTAAACCCCTAAACCCCTAACCCCCTAAATTCTAAACCCTTAAATCCCTAAACCCTTAAATCTCTAAACCCCCAAACCCTGCACCTTGGGAACTGCAGCACCTCATGCAAAGGGAAGCGAGATTTCGCGAGCTTCGGCTTTCGGGTTTGGGGCTGTCGGGCTTTGGTGCCTGAGGGTTTCGGGGTTAGGGTGTAGGGCTTTAAGGGTTTAGGGGGTTAGGGGTTTAGGGGTTTAGGGTTTAGGGTCCGAAGGGGTCGAGGGGGAGGGCTTCAAGTAGGGTGTAGAGTTTGGGGTCTGAGGATGTAGGGTGTAGGGTTTCGATGAGGGTTTCGGGGTTAGGGTGTAGGGGGTTAAAAGCCAAAAAATGAAAGTAATCGATTTGAAACGTCTTCTCCAGCGAACAAGAAGGCTTGAAGTAGGCGGTAGGGTATGGGGTCTGAGGATGTAGGGTGTAGGGTTTCGATGAGGGTTCTTGGATACTTGGTTTTGGGTTTTGGGAGCTAGGGTCGAGCTTGAGTGTAGGATTTCATGCGGTTGCCTTCATGATGGCCTTCTGCACCTTCGTGGCCTTCTTGTTCTTGCGCAGAGCACCTTTCTTCAGGATCCACGTTTCGGTCACCGGGGACTTGCTTCGACGGAGGGCGTGCAAGATGAAGTCGTCCCATGTTGTCGACCATTTCTTCACATACAATGACGTCACCATCACCCATGGTCAAGGCGTCGATCGCACATCCATCTGGAGCTCTTGACCTGATGATGGCAGAAAAGATCTTTGTCAATCCTTTCTTCTGAGTTTTGCCCAGCGGAGTGCAGCGCAAATGAGCAGATTTGGGCTTAAGGGATTTTAGTTTGGAGTGTAGGGTCTGGAATTGTTCAGGGTTTGAGGACAAACACGCTACATGCCTGCAAGCTGTCTTGTCCTCACGAGCCCCACAGCCCGAAACCGTAAACTCCCAAGTCCCAAACTCAAAATCCGAAAGCTGCAAGGCCTTGATGGCAGACCTTGTGGGAACCCATATGTCCTTATACGCGTAGGGGTTCTACACGGGTACTATGTAGGGTTTTGGCGTGGGGGTTTAGGATTAAGGGTTTTTTGTAAAGGCACCCTCATGCCCCCTTTGATGCAGCCAAACTGCTTGCAACTGGCATACCCATGCTCGACTTCACGGCATCCGTCATGGAATGATGTGCCTCCCGAGCTTTGGATTCTTCTTCCAACCAGAAGAGTTTGCGGTGTAGGGCTTCGGATTCAAGGTTTCGGATTTAGGATTTGGGGTTTAGGACTTAAGCCCTGTATCTTAAGCGCAAGGCCCTGAAACCGAACCCAAAATCCGCATAATCCCCAAGCACTACACAGATATGTCCATTCCCAGCTGCCCGCGTCGAGGAGCTCTTGCGTGATTTCAATTACCATGATCGGGATCTGTAGCAAATCAACGGGCATGGGCTTCCGTATCATGGTGACTTAAACAGAAAACCTTAGTAAGAACTCAGGTTGAAGGCTTAGGGTTCTTTTTCTTAAGTTGATGTGCACCCTTTCTCCAAAACAGGGCTTAGGGTTCAGAGTTTCAGATTCTTCCCGGCCAGGCCCGGAATCGCTAGTTCAGGGTGTGGTGGCGTTGGGGGGTTTAGGGTTTATGTGGCTTGAGGGTTTTGGGGAATTCAGCTTGATTGCTGGCACCCCTCTACTCAAAAATTCCGTCCACACCGCAAGTCCTAAGAATGCCACCTCCACGATAACCCCTCAGCCCTACACCCGAAACCTGAAACCTGAACCCTCAGAAGCCTTCCAGTAACCCTTACATCCGATCCCTAAACCCTCAAGCTCAAACCCTGAACCCCATAATCCCTAAAGCCCAAGCCCTAAACCCGAAACCCTAATCCCTAAACCCTAACCACAAAGCTTCTAATACTACTCATACTACTACTACTACTACTACTACTACTACTACTACTACTACTACTACTACTGCTACTACTACTACTACTACCACTACTACCACTACTACTACTACTACTACTACTACTACTACTACTACTACTACTACTACTACTACTACTACTACTACTACTACTACTACTACTACTACTACTACTACTACTAATCCTAAACCCTAAACCCTAAACCCTAAATCCCTAAATCCCTAAACCCTAACCCCAAAGCTCCACCCCCGGGGGCCGATCGACCTGGGGCTCAAAGTGACCCTCCGGATGCGCCACCGGGATGAATCCAGGCGGCAACTCCTCGCCGGGAGCGAACCTCGGCCGGTAAAGTCCCCTTTAAGGATCCCTGTGAGGGTTCCTTCAAAGGGCTTACTTTAAAGGGCTCCCTTTAAGTTTTCCTTTAAGGAAAGCTTTAAGGCTTCCTTGAAGGATTTCTTTAAGGGGTTTCTTTAAAGGGCTCCCTTTAAGTTTTCCTTTAAGGATAGCTTTAAGGGTTCCTTGAAGGGTTTCTTTAAGGGTTCCTTTAAGGGTCCCTTTAAGGGATCCCTTTAAGGGTTCTTTAAGGGTCCTTTAAGTGTACCTTTGAGGTTTCCCTTTAAGCGTTCCTTTGAAGGGGGTGTGGCCCATTATACTATAATTATCAAGAAGAACCCCCAAAATAGTATAGGCTATAGGTAGTTATTGAGGCCCCTATATAATAATACCAGGCCGCACGACCCCAAGAAAGAATGAAAGCCACAAAAGTCTGCAACACAAACACCATGGTACCACTGCAAGCACCAAGATCATGAAGCCCGCCACCAGACAGCCTAGAACTGTTCGAGGAATGAGCTTTGACAATTGAGCTGCGAGATCAAACACACCGAATTGCCGCATCCAAGACCACATATCCCCAACTCGACATCAAAGACTCTGCAAAGACCCGAGGTTACGGCCACTTGCCCTGCGAGTGGTCCATAGGCGCGGCAGGATACGTGTAAGGACCTGAATGGCTCTTGCTTGAGGCTTCGGGCTTCAATGCTTTGAAAGCCTGAACTTGCAAAGCACCTGAGCCCCCCTGTCAGGTCTGCATCACAGGGGCAACCTCGAAGGTCTGCAGACTCCTAAGAAGCCTGCCCCGGGCCTTCGATCTAGGCTGTAGCACTACCCAGAACCCCTTTTGGAGGATCGAAAAAGCAGATCCCCTAATGGGGGTTCCCATAAAGTACCCTTAGTAGTTTAGCGCCCCAAATTAGGGGATCTACTTTCTAGATAAACCCTAAACCCCTAAACCCCTAAACCCCTAAACCCTAAACCCCTAAACCCTAAACCCCTAAACCCCTAAACCCTAAACCCCTAAACCCCTAAACCCTAAACCCTAAACCCATAAACCCCCTAAAGATCCTCCTGAAACGGGGGGGTCTGGGTAGCTAGGTCTTACGGTTCAGGCCTTGGGATTTAGAGCTGCGGGCTGAATCTTCAGGGTTTTTCTGCTTCCCAGAGACTCCAATATCCCTTAATTGGGGAATATACCTTAAACCTAGGGTTCCTTAAAGGGCTCCTTAAAGGGATCTATAAGGGGCTCTATAAGGGGATTAAGGAATATACCTTCCCTTAAGTCATATTCGGGATCCGAGTATAATTCAAGGAGTATTCCTTAAGGGATATTGGAGTCTCTGGGTTCGAGTAGGGACATGAAGGTATGGGGCTAAAGCCAACACCCCACTTAGGGCGTTTTGGGGTTTGAGGCGTAGGGTTTAGGGTTTAGGGCTTGGGGTTTAGGGTTTAGGGTTTAGGGTCTAGGGTTTAGGGTCTTGCAACTCTTCCCTCTACGGGGAAGCTCTGCTAGAGCCTCGATCTTCTCCATCTGGGACGTTACAAGATCCAGGGTCGGGATCGATTCATGCCGTGTCAGAAACACCAGTCAGCAACATTCTTCGCAAAACTCGATGCGATCTCAGCCTAGACTCTAGACCCTGAACCCCCCGCCCGAGCCCCTCACTCTCAAACCCCTAAATCCTGACCACTCAATTTGCCAAGTGGCTGTAGATCATTGAAGTGGCTGGAGGGAGGCCATCCTGCAAGGGGTCTAGGGCTTTAGATTTGGGCCTATGGAAGTTGATGGTTTAGGGTCTTCCGTTTAAGGCATAAAGTTAAAGCCATGAGGTAAGTTCCGTTCCCGTTTCAGCTACGATTTCCTTATAAGGACTTGTCTTCAAAAAGCAGGACCTTGACGACCACCCAAAAGAAGTCATTTAGGGATTCGGAGGGTCAGAGGCATCTGCTGGCGTGCCAAGCACCGTAGGTTCCCATATCCAAAACGTTCTTTGCCGCCACGCCTAACAGCCCAAGACATCTCATCGCATGTGTGTGTGTGTGTGTATATGTGTACGTCGAGAGAGAGAGAGAGAGAGAGAGAGAGAGAGAGAGAGAGAGAGAGAGAGAGAGAGAGAGAGAGAGAGAGAGAGAGAGAGAGAGAGAGAGAGAGAGAGAGAGAGAGAGAGGGAGAGAGAGAGATAGGGGGAGGGAGAGAGACAGCAGGGAGGCTTGCCATGCTGCGGATACACATAGGAATCACGGGACAAAGTGCAAGCCACAAGACAGAGAACCCCAAAACCCTCGAACCCCAAACCGTTACCCAAATTTATCTGAAAAATCAAAAGCAAGACCTCAACACGAAATGCCCAGCACGAAAGCCCAAAGAAAATCCGCACGGCCCCCACCGGCCTGCATGTACACAGGCTGTCCGTAGTCGTAGCCCTGTGGCAGCAAGCGGGTTTAAGGTTTAGGTTCTTGGGTTTATGGCACCCAAAATCACACCGAAGTGCAAACCATGCAATATAAGTGCGGCATTTCCCTCGCCAAGGAGGGGTAAGTGCGGCATTTCCCTCGCCAAGGAGGGGTCAGAAGCTAGTGCTCTGCGCAAAGTTCTTCTAATCTCAGGGGTTGACGGGGCACACACACCAATTTTGTCGCAGCAGCCGGAAGACCAACAGTCGCATGAAAGGCTTCCCAACCATGCCGTCAGAAGTGGTCAGAACTACTGGGGGGATACATGTGGTTCATAACTGAACACTTGTGCGGCTTCTAGCAGTAAACATCTAAACAAACCTCAACCCTTAAAGCAACACCGCAGGAACTGAGGACGCGGCGGCTGGCAGCATCTGGATTGGCTGGCCAGTGGCAGCGTCAACGTAAGTGACCCTCAGGGGCATCGACCCGATCCGTGAGTTGCTATTACCCTAAGGGTCCATGTACGCATATAGCAAATACTTTGGGCCCAATGTACCCATAAGGGAGTACTGGCCAATGTATATACTATATGAGTACATGGCCCGGGCCGTATGAGGTGTTGGGGTTTTGGGCTACATTCCGCTGGAGTGGCATTACTAGACATTTGACTATCCCGAGGAATACCGATAACCCTGACGACACAAAGTCTGGAAATCAAACAGGGTCGTCTCAAAAGAGGCTCCACGGCCTTCAACACTGGGTACTTCTAGGGCCTTTAAGGCTTAGAGCTTAGGGCTTTAGGGTCGAGGGTTTAGGGAGACTTTAAACCCCCAATTTTATACGACACAAAACGATGGCGCACGGAACGACCAACCTTGACAATACATGACGGACGCCGACGGAAGCGTAACACCCGTAAACCGAACCGAGAAGCGTAACACCCATAAGCACACTAGAACCGTGAACCCCGCAGAATCCTAAACCCCGAAAACTACACAAACCTCTAATCCCAAAACCGGAGCTGATGCTAAACCCTGAATACTTTAAAGGCCCATAGTCCCAAACCTCAACCCTAAATCCCAAAAAAATGGAGCTGACGTTCCTTGCCAGGCAACGGGCCAGCGTCGGCAGGCATGTAGGTGACTCCCGGCTCCCCCTGGTAGGTCCTTCGTTTCAAGATGATGATCATGATGATGATGATGATGATGATGACGACAGTCTTAGTGATTAAGAGACGCTAAATGTTATATATTGCTTGTTGATGTATTGGAAAAATAGCTGTCTGTCTAGGGGTGTATGTATATATATATATATATATATGTATGAATACATTATTGTGTAGCTGTTTGTTATATATACATATGTATTGGCTTATATGTATATTTATGTTGCTCGACATACATCATATTGCAATGTCTGTTGCACACACATTATAGAGAGAGAGAGAGAGAGAGAGAGAGAGCAAACGAAGCCTAAGGAGGATTAGGCATACTAAGGAGGTTCAGGCTTAGGGTTTAGGGGTACGGTTTCGGGTTCTGTCAGGGCTCAATAACAGGTCTGGGGTTGGGGTTTCTTGGGCATTCTAAGATTCTCAAGCCCAATCTGATTGTCAAACAAAGGGGACATGGCCCTTCGCACAACCTAGACCCTGACACAGACCCCGAAGCAAAGAAACCGACAACCACAATCAGGCTCCAGCCCCAAAACCAAGACCTGCAACCTCAACGCGCTACGAGCCCGAAGCTTGATATAAGGGATCCTCGTCGCAAGAGTGGCGTACTCTTTTTGGGGGGTCCAACAGCAAACCCACTTAGAGAACTACGCACGTGCAGAGCTCGCAAGTGCGGGTCATGGTGGCAGTGGGCTGCGCCATCGTCACCTCATGGCATCTGACTTTCGGGTTCAGGATTTTTTGGGGTGGAGGATTTAGGGTTTAGGGGTTTAGGGGTTTAGGGTTTAGGGTTTGGGGTTTAGGGGTTTAGGGCTTAGGGGTGTAGGGGTTTAGGGTTTCATGCTTTGGAGCTTGCTTTCAATAAGATGTCCCGCTGTTGGCTGAGGATGTGAGGCTTAGTCTGCAAGGATTGCACCTGAAACCCTAAAACCCTAAAACCTAAACCGCTTAGGCTACAGGAGTCTTGCAGGCTTGGCCCGACATCTGCGTGTCCTCTTCCTGTAGTCCTTACAGGGACTACGATACTAAGGGTTTAGAGGTTCCTTGAAGGGATCTTGAGGGTTTGGAGGTATTACGGTATAGGTGAGGGCTATGTGTCTACAGGATACATGTTGAGCTTGCGTGGGGATCGGGAAGGCCCTTGATATCTTTGAGATCCTTATCTGAAGCCGCTGCCGGACCGAAAGGGTGCAGGAGGATAGGCCTCATGAGCAAGCTAGGTCTTAAAGGGAACTCCAGAAAGCTGGAATATGGTTTCAGGGTAGGATACCCTATAATTTACCATAGAAGGGTTAGGATAATCGTATTCCAACTTTCTGGCTTTTACCTTATGGAAATTGAGTACCTCTTGCACGCTCTTTGCTTCGAGCATTCTGGTGCTGCGCTTGAAATGTCCGAAACCAACCAACCGCCGACTCCAAGTAATGCGGCCCCAACGCCCACAAGCCCAACAGCCTGAACGCCGAAAATCCCGGATCACACCCTCAACCCTCGACCCCAAACCCTGAAACCCAAACCCCAAAACCCACAAAACCCTTATAGGAACCCTTATAGATCCCTTTAAATGGAACCCTAAACCCAAACCTTAGACCCTAAACTCAAGGCCCCTCACCCAGAGTCTCTGGCGGGCTGGGCCATAGTTGCAGCTCTCGCTAACTTGGAGGAAGGGCGCGCCGGGTTGATGCTGGGATGCGGCTGCGGTGAGAGGACATTGATTTAGGGTTTAGGGTTTAGGGTTTGAGGCTTATTGAGGCTTTAAAGGGAACTCCAAAAAGTTGGAATATGGATTAATGGTAGGATCCCCTATAATTTACCATAGAAGGGTTAGGACAATCATATTCCAACTTTCTGGCTTCTACCTTAGATTCTTGAAGCTTCGGTGTTTGAGGGCGTTTGGGGGTTTGGGCTTTGGGTCTAAACTCCCTACAACTCGACTATGCCCGATCAATACCACAATAAGGTATAACAGGGTTTCGCAGGATTTGCAGTGTTTTATATATTAAGGGTTGCATATTTGGCAGAATTAAGATTTGGTTGCAAAAATCCTAGCATCTCGGGAAATAACTGCCCCATATTGTTTTGGTTTTCCTGTGTACTCGACGGATGTCGCAGGCTCCTTATTGTACCTATGGTACAATATACTCCCGAACCGTACAAGTATTACGGCATCATAGAAACCTACTATCCCTTTAAGGGAACCCTGTAAAAGATCCCTATTCTAATTATCAGTGCTACTACATTAACGTAGGATCCCGGGTCTCTTTTCCTGTAATGCGAGCAGCGAGGCATTTGCGAAGTCAGCACAATCCTTGTGAGCATGGTATCTCATTAGCTGCAGGCGCCGCCGCGGTTGAGAATGCTTCAGACTACAGGCATGTAGGTAGGTAGTATGGGGGGGGGATTAATAGTTGGAACAGGGGATTGGGCATCTTACTGCGTATCGAATTCTAGCAAGCAACCCGAGGAATAGTATAGGTAATCACTCAACCCCCTAAAAATATGAACCCTAGAATCCTAAAAATCCTCGAAACCCTATCAAACCCTGAAGACCCCAAAAACCACAATTAATGCAAACCCTACTTCAGCGAGGTATTGTGCTCTGGTTGTAGTAAGGAACACAACGAGTCCAGAAAGTTGCTAAGGCCCTAGTAGAACTCTTATAAAGATCCCTTTAAAGGAGCTAATTACTAAGGTCCCCGGTATCCCTACTTCAGGTAACTACCCCAAACCCTCAAAACACCTCAAACCCCTAAACCTTGGACTCCAAAAAACATAAAACCCTAAAAACATAACAACCCCAAAGCCCTGCTTCAGAGAATTGACAATACTATGGAGGAGCCCTCCAAAGGAACCTTGTTCCCCATATTGAAACTTACTTCAGAGAACTACCCTGAACCCTATACCCTTAAAGGAGCCCTTTCAAGGTACCCTTAAAGGAACCCTACTTCAGAGACTTACCAATACTATAAACCCGAAACCTTAAAGGCCCCTATATTGAACCCTAAACTCTACTTCAGAGACTTGCCCAAAAACCCTAAACCCTTAAAGGTACCCTTAAAGGGAACCCTACTTCAGAGACTTACCCTACACCCTAAACCCCTAAAGCCCTAAACCCTAAACCCCTAAAGCCCTAAACCCTAAACCCCTAAAGCCCTAAACCCCAAACCCTTAAAGGTACCCTACGCCTTAAAGGGAACCCTACTTCAGAGACTTACCAATACTATTAAACCCTAAACCTTAAAGGCCTGAATAAACCCGAAACCCTAAACTCCTAAACCTTAAATGCCCCTATATTGAACCTTACACCCTACTTCAGAGACATACCTCTGTACTATAGAAGATCTCTTATAGACCCCTTTCAAGGAAACCGAAAAAGTAGTAAAGGGCCCCTCTAAAGGTACCCTTAAAGGAACCCTACTTCAGAGACTTACCCTACACCCTAAACCCCTAAAGCCCTAAACCCTAAACCCTAAACCCTTTGAAGGTACCCTACGCCTTAAAGGGAACCCTATTTCAGAGACTTACCTCCTGCATTCCTGCTATTTGCTTAAGAACCCCCCCCAAAAAATATAAAATATATTCCTAATGGGGGTAATATAGGGATTATTATTTTAATTTTTGGGTGTTTCTTAAGCAAATAGTAGATTCGCTTTGGCGCCTCCCGGGGCTTGGCGGCAGCCGGGCTGCGGCGAGAGCCACAACCCGGCGGAGGCGAGGACACGCTTTGAACCCTAGGAATCCCTAGGAAACCCCTAAGTTAGGAATCCCTAGGTTTAGGGTTTGGGGCTTAGGGGATCCTAGGAATCCCTAGGTTTAGGGTTTAGGGTTTAGGGTTCCCCTAAGAAGCCTTACGAAAGATCCTTCGGAAATCCTAGGAAACCTTCAGAAATCCTAGGATCTTCAGAAATCGCGGGAAGCCTCTAGAAAGCCTTAAGACAGCGTAGGAAACCTTAGGTAAAAGTTGTAGGGTTGTGGTGGAGGGTTTGGAGTTGCGGGCTAAGCCCCGCTAGGGCTTAGGGTTCATTCAAGGCTTCGGGTTTATGTAGGTTCATCCCCTCAACACTGCTCTCAGGACCCGAAACCCCAAGCCCCAAAAAAGCTTAGACTTCAAGACTTAGGGTTTCGGTTCAAGGTTTAGCGGCACCTAAACCTGGTAGAACCCATGCACCATGCACTGCATGGCCCGTTTAGAAGACCTCAACGTGTAAGAAGCACACACGAGAAAGGTTCTTGAGGCATCACTGTGTGGTTAGATTTTGGGGTAGCCGGCGCCCTGTGCACAAGCTAGCCCGCGGCGTGTCCTCACAGAGGATAGGCAAAACAGAAAATTCGAGTGATGTGCGCAGAGCGTTCGAAAGCAACCCTTTTGGAACGATGCACCACCTTGTGTGCTGCTCTGGCAATCCAGAGGGCTCCTCATGCCTCAGCCAGAATCTGAGACTCAAACACTTGAAAATTCGTGAAATCAGGGCTGAAACTCCAGGACCCAAGCCTCAGAACTCCCCCAAAACCACTGAAGCCCTAGTAACAACTACTGAAAGACTTCCAGTAGCCCTTCGAGACTCCTCTCGGCGCCCTATTCCAATCTATTCACGCACCGAATCTAGTTCATGGTCGGGATAGGACTATAATTGTACAGTCTTATTCCTCATGGGGTTGAAGTACCCCATAACATGTAAAAATAACATGAAAAAATGTTACCCAAACTATGACAAAGGAATAACCCTCAACCCTAAACGTCTAAGCCCTCAAAACACAACCCTCGGAGCCCTCTACTGCTCCCAGAGATCTGTCACACTCAGCAGCAGCCGCTGGCCCTCTTCTTCTTGCCCCTGGGTTTGGGGTTGGGGCTGAAGGGTTTCGGTTTAAGGCTTTGGGTTTAGGGTGTAGAGACAAGCTTTAGCAGCTAATCAGGTCAGGTCAAAGCCTCGTGTTGAGACACATGGGCATGAAAGGCCACTCAACATTTTCACTGATGTGGCGTGGGTGTCAAATTGTATGTGAGCACTTTGTGCTGCCAAACTGTTGGAGTTTGGTTCCATAAGGTCTCTAAAACTCTCTAAACTAAGCCGATCGCCGCACATATCCAGAGCCATGCGAAAAACTTCTGAAAGCCAAAACTCGGGTCTACCCCGCTTCCGAAGTCCATCATGCCATCGCAGCTGAAACGTCCCATCATGGAAAATACATGTTCGCATGACATCCTCCCGTGGAAATTGCGCGATGCGCCCCAAAAGTAGCAGCTGTCGGCGACAAAGAATGATTGCAAGTTTCTCAGTGCCAGCTTCTTGTAACAAGATCGGCGGGAAGAAACTTCAAAGATGCAGAAGCCACGCACTGAGCAAGAGGACCACTGTCTGCGCGCTGCGACATGCACATGACATCAACTCTGACTGGCCCGTAGTCGTTGAGTTATCCACTGGAGCAGGAGTGTCGGTCTTGGTGCCATCCAACAGCGGCTGGACCAAAGTGAAAGCAGCATAGTCAACAGCATACTCTGAGGAGAATTCGGATTCCAGAATCGGAAACTCCTCGATCATGAAGCCTTAAGGGGCCATCATGCCGGATTTTCTGAAGGACAACTACCGGTAGCAACCCTCTTATATAATCTGCTTATGAAATGATTCCGTCTAAGAAGCCTTCAGGAGAGCTTGTCCCGGCGTTGCAGCCGGTAGCCAAAGCGACAGGCTTTCCTGCATCATCCACCACCAGGTTCGGCCGGTTACATGACTCAAACTTTGCAAATGTGCCGTCGGTGAAGGAAACGTTCTGGTCGTTGGCATCCCCCGTGTGCGTCCACTTGCCGAAGAAGTCAGTACTCCAAGCATGAGACGTCAAGTCTTTCTCCGACACCACATAGTGGAAAAGTGCATGAAACACTCCCTGCGAGTCCTTCCATCCAAAAGGATCCCCAATCCCTTCGCTCACATAGAGCTCATTGGCACCCCACTCTGTTGGTCCAGTGCCTTCATCAGCAAAAATATTCCTTGTCTGGAAAGTGTACTTCGATTTGCAGTCCCGTGCACTGCTGCACTTCCAGTGTGTTGCACTGGCTGTGTGGATCACTGAGCAGGAAGTACCAACTGCCCCCGTGGGGCAATCTTGCCAAGACCGCCACATTGCCAGCAGGCTACCGTTCGCTTGAATCTCAACCGGTGCGAAGTTGGTGTCGACAGTGTCGCCTGCAAAGGTTGCATCTTGAAATCCTGTCGCTGAAGTTTCATCTCGAGGATCTATGATCATGACTGGCTTGGACCAGGATGCATCGTCCCCTGGAGTAGTAGTCCAACTCATCCATGTCGGATCCGATGAGGCCGTGTGCACACAAGCTCCGAAAAGGGGAGCTACATTTCCGTCAACTTCTTCTGCACCAGTGCTGCAATCGCAAAGGTGCTCGGTCTCAGTGGTGTAGGCATGATCTGACGAGAAGCCGCCAGTTCCCTCGGATCCCACATCTGTGACGCCATCGTAGATGCCGGTGAAGTACATCACCGTCTCCCCAGTGGGTGCTTTAATGACCTTGGGCTCATGGCACATGGGGCCAAAGACCACGCCTGTCTTTGTATAGGGGCCCTCCGGGCTCGCGGCTTCTGTATGAATGCACCTGGAGTTGGTGCCCCAGGTGTCCATACCACACTTCTTGGCATTCTCTGAGACCCACATGTGGTACTTCCCGCCTTCTTTGAGCACAGCACCGCCCCAACTGGTGAAGCCATCTTCTATAGGCATGTAGCCCCACTTTTCCTTATCCACTGGAGCCACGTCAAGCACCGAACATGCAGTACCCGTCCAACCGGCGGTACACACGCACGCGCCCGAGACGCAGGCGCCATTCTGCGAGCAGTCAGCTGCTGTGGAGCACGCGTCACAAAGGGCCACGACAGTTGCACACAGCAGCGTCAGCATTGGAAAAGCATGGCCAGACATGTCCATGAAGGCGGTACGGCTACCTCAGCACCGCGAACGTGTTTGGCTTCTCAAGCTCTTGATCCCGTTCGTTTCATGCAGGATTTATATCATCAACCGTAGTTCAGGGTTGGAACTTGTTTGTTGCCGGCTCGCAAGTTCGGATGTCTTGGATTGAGGTTTCAGGGCTCAGGGTTTCAGGATTGGGATTTATGGCTTTAGCTGCAAGTCGGCTTATGAGGCTTTCAACTAAGGAACTTGCCTTAAGATGTGGAAGATCGCACGCAGTATTCGCAGACTCCTCGTACGAGGACGAACAACAAAGCCAACAAGTATGAGCAATAATCATGACAATGGCAGCAGTCATCATGGTCTTGAGTGTGGTCATAACCATGGCCGCTATCAAAAAGCGATTCATCATTATAAGACTTCTTGATGCGTGTTGTTGTTGTTGTAATCTGCGCCCTCCGAGCTTGAGCCACAGCCCTGCACCCAGGGGTTCCGGCATGCTTTCCCGAGCAGGTTGCCTCAAGTCTGCACCCTGGGCCCAGATGCCTTACAATCGCTACCCATCTATTGGCTTGGTGTGTTGTGTTTTGGGTTTGGGTTAGGGTTTAGAGCAATAAGTCTTGCGTTTCGCGCTCAACGGTAACCACTAGCTACTTGCGTAGGGCTTTGTTCGCTTCGGATTTCGGCTTGGCGCATGGCCTGGCACTCCCGAAACATAACCCCCAGAAGCCAAGTCTGATGATACACTCACCTGGAAAGAAGCTCATCATCAAGCACGTGTAGGATTCGCAAATGCAGACCCAAAGATCATACGTCTGGACATTTTCAACGAACATCTACTTGGTCGCCCGGTATCGATTTGCACAGGAAAACTTCTGAAGGCACATGGAGATGCCACAAACATGCTCTGAAGGACTGGAGCGGGCCTTAATAATTAGAATAAGGTTCCTTGAAAGGGTTCCTTTGAAGGGGTCCATAAGGGATCTATAATAGAGTTCTAGAGTGTAGAGGCCTTAATAATTAGCATAGGGTTTTGGGGCCCTTATACTATAATCATCATAAGGAGTCCCCCAAAAAGTATTGGTAATTATGGAGGCCCCTATATTAAACCCAAAGTCCTGAACGCTGAACCCACAAGTTCTGCCAAGAGGCTTCTTCTTCTCGGCCTCAAGCATCCAAATCTCGATAGCTCGTGACGAGCCCTAAACCCTAATGAAACCGCCGTAAGACCCTGTAGAGGCTGTTACGAAGCCCAAAAGCCAAAACTCTGAAAACCGACTTTCGGGATGAATGGCTAGAACCTGGCAGGTGCACAACCGAAATGGGGTTGGGGTTTAGTTTTAAGGGGGTCACTAAGGAGAGCCACGTGCACCCATCGGACAAGCTGTCCTCTCGCACACTCGACTGCGCCTCCTTCACCAAGTCGTGGTCGGAGCTGCCCTTGCCAACACTGTGCACTGTGACACTGCCGTCGAAGTCAGAGATCATCCATCTCGCCTTCCCTGTCCTTTCGCTGACGGGGCCTGTCAGTGCCCTGAACCCTAAATCCTAAACCCCTACACACCTAAACCCCTCAGGCACTAAACCCTAAACCTCTCTATCATATGTATATATATATATATATGTAAACCTTAACTTTAATAGCTCCGCAAGCAATATCTTTTTTCTTGGTTCGTTTTTCGCCGATGCCGGCGAAGGATTTCTGGTTTTCCTACAGAAAATCTGCATTTCTTCGCTGGCAATGGCGATTTCCAGTATTTCTTCGCTGGCAAGGCCATAGCGAGGAAACCCCGATTGTCAGCCGGAAAACCAATACAGTAAACGCCAGAAAGTTGGAATATGATTATCCTAAACCGTTTATGGTAAATTACAAGGTATCCTACCCTGGAACCATATTCCAACTTTTTGGAGTTCCCTTTAACCCTTCGCTGGCAATGGCGATGTCTCGTTTTTTCGCCTTAGGGTTCCGGCCCTCGGGTTTAGGCCTTAGGGTTTGGGCCGGGTTTAGTCCTCAGGGTCGGGTTTGCAGTTTTAGCTCTAGGGTTCTGTATGTAGGCTTTACGGTTCAGGATCTGGGCTCTAGAGTTCATAGAACAAGTATGGTTTCTCAATGTTGGGGCTTCCTGGGTGGGTGGGGTATTTTGGGATTATCGAAGAGACTGCTCCTAAACCCAAACCCTAAACCCTAAACCCCTATATAAACCCTAAACCTCGAACCCTAAACCCTCAACCCCAAACCCTACCCTCAACCCCTAACCCTGAACCCTAAACCCTAAAGCCTAAAGCCTAAAGCCTAAACCCGTTTAGGGTGGATCTTTGCTTCTGCGCCCTCCGGCCTTGGCAGCCTTGGCCGGAGCCGCTGCACCTGCTTGAGGCTGTTACGGCCTAAAGCTCGGGCTTCTCTTCGAGATTTTTGGAGGTTTAGGGTTTTCGGGGTTTTGGGATTTGGGGCTTGAGGGTTTTAGCGTTTAGGCGTTAGGTCTTTAGGGGTTTGGGGTTTTTTTGGGGGGGAGTATGTACACATCGTGCCTGGGTTTAGGGGAAGGGTTGCGGGTTGAGGCTTTGGCGATGCTCGGATGACGGCGTTGTTGCTGTTGGTTGGCTGCGTCTTTTGTGCTGTTGTCGTCGTTGTCGCTGCTGGTAGTGCGACGAGTGCTACTTTCGTGGGTGTGGTTCACGAATACTGCAGTGGCGATGAGCATGACGAGGAGGAACAGGAGCAAGGATACGCAGTTGAAAATGATTGCAGTCGTCCTGGTGATCGATACGGTGAAAGAACAACTAAGCCATAAATCATAAGCGACAAGACAGATAGTGCCAAGAAAGCTGGCGCTGAGAGTACTTCCTGATACCTCTCACTGGCCCAAACCTCCCTAAAACTGCCCTGAAACTTCTGAACCCTGAAAAGCTGTGCATCCGTAACCCTGAAGCCTGAAGCCCTAAACCTGACTTTACCTCCTAAACCCCGAAACCCAAAACACAAACGAATCAACCCCAAGCCTCACCCGCATACCTACATTTCGTGAAACCCCACACCCTAAGCCCAAAATCCCTAAACCCTAAATCCTAAGGGCTGAAGGGCAGCATGTTGCTTCGTATTACGACGTCTATATCAGTCTCCGGGCTCCTATTATCAAATCCATCTCTATGATCTAGGGGCCATTATACTCTAAGTATAGTAAGGAACTCCCAAAATAGTATAGGTAATTATTAAGGGCCCTATTGGGTAGTTGTCAAAATTATGGCCCCTTTTTGGGTGCCCTAAATATTAGGTGCCGTATTACAATAAGGACCCAAAAAGTATATACCATAATTGTGGCAACCGCCCTATTGTACTTCCAGCCTGCCAGGCCCGTCATGCTCTTCACGGCATCTGTCATGGCGTGAGTCTCCTGGGATGGGTTTAGGACTCTTGACGAAACTCCACTGTCAGGTTTTCTGCTTGGAAGTTCATGGGTAGTTATAAGTAGGGTTATAAGTCTCCTAATATGGGTTATAAGTATAGTTACCCTACTTATAACTCTACTTATATAGACCCATGAACCTCCAAGTGAGCGCTCTATATAACCATGAGGCTTTGTAAAGGATTGCATTATTGACATGCGAAAAGGGTTCCAGGGTTTGGGCATGGCTGCATGGAGGGTGTTATCTGGATTAGGGCTGTGGGTCTCGTTTTTGAGCGTGACACGTTTGATACCTGGAACTAATTATGACAATCTTCACAAAGATTTAGGCTCTTACAAGGTTCCGTAGGATTTGTAGGTCAGACGCTGAACTAAATTAGAACCAGAGACAGTACCTACAACCTTCCAAAGCATCCGTACCGCCGCCGGAGCGTCGCAACCCTCCCGCCCTCCCGAACCCTGATCCCAAAACCCTCATCCCTAAACCCTGAACCCCAAAACCCTAAACCCAAGAAGCCCTAAACCCTAAGATCGCAACGCCTAGCCCCCCCTGCCCCACCTTCGGCTGCATGTGCCCCTCAGGGTGCGCAACTGGGATGAAGCCTGGAGGGAGCTCCTCCCCAGGGGCGAACCTTGGCGAGGTGTTCGGTCCAGAGATCTCTCTCTCTCTCTCTCTCTCTCTCTCTCTCTCTCTCTCTCTCTCTATGTATATATATATATATATGTGTATTGCAGATATAATACATGTATAAATATATACACGTAAGTGTGTGTGTATATATATATATATATATGTACGTAAGTTCGTTGGGGCATTGTCGTCTGGGCACACGTAGCTGCAGGTCTGCGCATCATGATGCACCTATGAAGGTGCTAAGGAATGGAGATCTACTGCGGCAGGGTCTGAGTTTTGGGCGTACCTTGCGCCGTTTGGGGTCTACCGGTAACCCTAAACCCTAAACCCTAAACCCCCGGACCGATTCTGCTAGCATGAGGATTGCGCACAGGCTCACAGTCGCCTCTCAACTGAGGCGGCCGTAGAACCGGAACCCCAAACCCCAAAACCCTGAACCCTAAAACCCTAAACCCCAAAACCCTGAACGCTAAAACCCTAAACGCCTAAAACCCTAAAACCCTACACCCTAAACCCGAAATCCCCAAAACCTAAACAGCCTCAAGGGAGTGGCTCTGGAAAACTCAGATCGGGCCCCACACCACTTGCCCTGCGAATGGTCCAACGCTGGGGCGTACGGACCTCGGCTTTCGGACTTTGTTGAAGTGGGGATTTGGGGTTGAGGGTTTGCGTTTAAGGGTTTAGGGTTTGGAGTTTAGGGCTTTGGGGGTGTTTAAGTGGGGTTTAGAGTTGAGGGTTTTGGGGTGTAGCGTTGAGGTTTCAGGGGCTCTGTGAGGGCTTTCTCGGCATAAGGGCTTTGGGATCGGCCGTTTTTCCTTGGGAGTTTAAGGTTTTCAGGAGGTTAGCACCCTAAACTCCTAAACCCTAAACCGCAAACCCTAATTAAACCCCAGAAGCCCAAACGGTGAGTTTAGGTTCGGGGGGATAGGAGCTGGGATCTGTCTTGGGGACAATGGACCCTGAACCCGAAACCCCAAAAC